GCACTTGGCCTTGTTGAACCTCATGCAGTTGGCCTCGGCCCATCGATCCAGCCTGTCCAGGTCCCTCTGCAGAGCCCTCCTCCCCTCGAGCAGATCAACACTACCACCCAGTTTGGTGTCGTCTGCAAATTTGCTGAGGGCACACTCAATCCCCTCATCCAGGTCATTGATAAAGATATTAAACAAGACCTTCACCTTATCGTGGCCTGGGGACGGCACACGCACGCAGCGCGAGCCCCCAGCCTCACCTTCCCCACGTACTTGCAAGCCTCCTCCCCGCCGGCCGCCATCTGTTCTTTGTTCGAGCCTAACGAGCGTGCGCTGGCATATTAATCACAGTTCGAGGGCTCGTCTTTTCTTACAGTTCTCCCTTAACTCTGCTGCATATCAAGTCGGAATTATTGACAGATTAATGTCAATCTGTTACACATCTTTTTCTCACATCACAGAGAGTCTGTGCTGCTGGTCCACGGGGATTTCATCTTGAAATGACTGGGTTTTTCCTATTTGATTGTTGCTTCCAGTCAGTTCAGACAGGTCCTTGGGGACCAGTGATTGAAATCCAGTGATAGGACTGTAGGTAAGAGGAGGGTTCAGGTGTCCTAGTCATCACCCTAATGCCATTCCCCCTCTCTTCAGTGTGGTTGCCGAGGTCCTTTCAAAGCTAGATGGCAATTTCCTCTGGAGGCCCTCGCTGGCATAATCAGGTTTTGATCTGCTGCTTAAATTAATACCAAATCCACCACAAATGCAATGCACGGGAACGAAGTCGATTCCGTTTCTTGCTTGGCATACATTACACGTTAGGAAAAAAAAATAAAATGAACTACCCCCTGCTTGATCACGGAGACGGAAGAAGAAAAATTTGAAGACTGAATTGTTTGCTTGGCCGTCATCATCTCAACCTGCTCATTAAGGACCTGAGCATCTTCAGTCCTCAGATCCAAAGTCCAGCTATGAAAGTGAGGGAGGCTTCCCTCGTTCTGCTGATGCAGGCAGCTCAGCCGGTAAATACCATATGGAGTGCTGGCTGGGTTAGGCACAACCCCCAAAACCAGCATATAGAATCATAGAATTATTTAGGTTGGACAAGACCTTTAAGATCATCAAGCCCAGCCGTTCCCTTAACCCTGCCATCCCACCACTAAACCCTGGCCCTAAGCACCTCATCTCTCCTTCTTTTAAATACCTCCAGGAATGGGGACTTGACCACCTCCCTGGGCAGCCCCTTCCAGTGCCTGACAACCCTTTCAGGGAAGAAATTTTTCCTAATGTCCAACCTAAACCTGCCCTGGCGCAACTTGAGGCTGTGTCCTCTCATCCTAAAGTGCACATCCTTGGTGCACCTGCTTTCTGCCTGGTCCTGCCACTAGCTTTACATGTGGAGTAGTCTGGAGATGAGATTTTTTTCGTAAAAAGTCTTTGAGATTGTGTTGGATCCCATGGCTGTTCCTGCGGGAAGGTCTGTATAGAGAGGTGTAGGTTTACTTAAGACTTTTAAGTGCAGCTTGCTTGAGAGTTGAGCAGACGATTGCTAATGCACAAAAGTTTTCTGCAAGAAGCTTGAATACAAAACAGCTTTAATTATTCAGAAGACCTGATGGGCCTTGAAAAAACTCAAGCAGTGAAGATTTCAGATAATTTAGGCGATTTCCCATTAAATAATTCAGAAGCAGTGGACGCAGTGTGGATAACGGCTAGTTTCAGATTACTGAGGTCTGGATAATCAAGACCTGTGGTATTTAGAAAATTGTCCAAGCCCATTACTATGTGCCATGACAACGTCTTGTAGCCATAGCAGTTGTCCTCTCCAGCAAAGGCTGTTGACTTCCAAAGCTCCCAGATCATACAAAGTACCTCCAGCTGAAATATTCTCCTCCTTCGCTTGTGCCTTGTGTTTTCACCACCGCAGCAATGAAGTGAAGGCACAGACAAGGACGTTGAAATAGTGTTTGTTGACACTGTCACAGCCAGCCAAGCAGTTTGCTGGCTTTATATAACGGCAGCGTTTTTCGGTCCGAGGACGGATGAAGGGATATAAAAGTATATTTCTAACAGGATGCTCGAAGCTTTTCTCAGCACCGGCGCTGTTGCTGCCGAATGCCAGCGCTGGCGACGTCAGCCCATCTGGAAGAACGGTCAAACTCCAGCGCATCCGACCGAAAAGCAGCTGCTTCGTTCGTGGCTCACCTCCCGCTGCCTCGCTGCAGCAGAGGACGGGGAGAGATCAACCAAATTACTCCAACACTTTGAGTTTGTTTATTTTTTGGCTCTTGTCTTAATACGATCATGCGGTTGAGAGCAACGAGCAGCTGAAGAGCCTATAGAGATGACATGTAAAGCTTTTTTGTGTTTTACCCCTCAGCGAAAAATTCACTTGACGCTTGACCAATTGCAGCTGGGTCTGAAAAAGAAATGCCCAGCAATAATTTTCTCTGAGACAGAGCCTACCTGCAGTACGGTGTGACCGAGCACCCTATTGATCAAGATGTAGCAATCCCTGAATAAATCATACGCCGTGCCATTAGCGAGGGTGTTGCTCTGCATCCTGCCGTACCGACAGTGCTCCAACACCTCCCTCTCCTTCTGAAGGCCTTTTGCATTGACCCGAAGATTCGAGTGCTGCAACTTATCTTCAGGACGAATGTTCTACTGAAGGGGAAACTAAAGGAAATGGAAAGGAGATTCAGGCCCCAGCCAGAGTTTGAATAATAAGCTGCCTTGCCTGTTTGATTACTGCCGATGACACTACCAGCCAGAAAACACAATTGCTAAATATCAATTTTTTGCAGACAGAAAACATCTCTGAGCCGTAACAAAGTGACTGTTGCGTGGTCAGCAATCCTTCCCACAGTTTGCCGTCTCCTCCGGGCTCCTCCAGAGCTCCATCGCACTCGCTGCTTACAATTTTATCAAGACGGGTAGGAGGAGATGGTGACACTCCTAGCTTGCCGTGTGTTACAGAAGGAAGATGATGTTATCGCCCTCTACAACTGCCTGACAGGAGGCTGTAGTGAGGTGGGGGTCGTCCTCTGCTCCCTGGTAACGGGTGATAGGATGAGGGGAAATGGTCTGAAGTTGCACCAGGGCAGGTTTAGGTCGGATATTAGGAAAAATTCCTTCCCCAAAAGGGCTGTCAGGCACTGGAAGGGGCTGCCCAGGGAAGGGGTCGAGTCCCCACCCCTGGGGGGATTTAACAGCCGGGCAGAGGCGGAGGTGAGGGCCAGGGTTTAGTGGTGGGATGGCAGGGGTAGGGGAATGGTTTGGTGATCGGAGGAACCTGTCTCCCACTTGGGAGGTACTGGGGTGGCCCTATCCCCATCCCCACACTGGTCAGCAGAAAGAGAGTGTATTCTGGTCCCATCCTGATCACACTTCTACGGGAGACAGAGTACTTTCCTTCAGGCTAATCCCAAAGACTACAGCTGGTCTAACCGCACCATTTTTAGAGGGAGCTATTCATCAGTGTATTGCCCTAATAATCCACGTGCTGAAAGCTTGGAGGTGTTCAGAAAATATGGGGTTTTAAAAAAAAAAAAAATTTCTAGTATTAAAAAGAAAGATTGAGAATTGTGTGAACCAGAAGAAAAAAAACGACGATTATATGAGTAGCTTGAGATAGCCATAGAAGAGTATTATGGAATGGAGACAGCTTTACCTGCATTAATCTGCTAAAGTGAGATGCAGTAAAGCAAATGCTTCCTGAGCACATTTCATCTTGGAGCTGGCTTTCTGGCTGTGAACAGCCAGCTCTGCAGTGAGCCCATCCAGCTAGGAAGCTGAAATCCCTGCTATCATAGCAGCTGCATTCTGGCCATAGTGGAAACGGTCCTTTTTCTTCAACGGTCCAGTTTGGTTTCAGCCAGGGATGCCACGTCTCGCAGAAGTGGGATGAGTGGCAATGGAGTTGTGGGTAAGGTCCTGTTCAGCACCTCACTTTCTCCGTTTTCCTCTACAAACAGAATCCTCAGCAAAGCTATTAATTTTTTTCAGTATGTAACTCTTTGGATTTAACCACATACGATTTAAAAACGCTTCTGCCCTGTTCCCGTGATTCGGGTTTAGATTAGCAATTTTTTAAAACTATTTCTCAAAAGTATTCTTTGGGTTGTACCTAAAATTGCATGAGAGCAGCAACCTGACAATCAACATAGTAAAAAAAATATTACTGCTTGTGCTACAATAACATCCAGAGATCCCAACAGGAATGAGGCCCTGGTTTGTCAGCATTATACAGGAATATAGTCTTGGTCACGTGATATTTATAACCTAGATAAGTTCAAAAATACCCAGAAAGTCATTAGCAGATATGGAATAAAGTTTATTTTAAGTCCCCATCTACCATCACACACTTTGAATTGTTATTACCTTTTGTGTTCAATCCGTATTGATTTTTCATTACTGCAGGCTGTGGCAGAGCCAATAGCTACAAATCCAAGTGGGAATATGTCCAGTGTTACTTCTTAATGCAACGTAAAAATATGTCCAGAGACCTAAACTCATTAAACTGGTTAACAGCATTGTACCAACCAATAATTATGCAAAAGCAAAGGGAAGATCAAAAGATTTTGTATCGGATATTTATTCTGTTTGGTGAGTGTCCATGGCTACTGAAGTTCAAAGCTCATTCTCAGTGTTCCTCACACGTAGAATCATAGAATCATAGAATGTTTTGGGTTGGAAGGGACCCCCAGAGATCACCCAGCCCAACCCCCCGGCAGGAGCAGGGACACCTTGAACCACATCAGGTTGCTCACAGCCCCGGCCAACCCGGCCTGGAATGTTCCCAGGGATGGGGCCTCCACCCCCTCTCGGGGCAACCCCTGCCAGGGTTTCACCACCCTCACTGGAAAGAATTTCTTCCTTAGATCCAGTCTAAACCTCCCCTGCTTCAGTTTAAAGCCATCCCCCCTTGTCCTGTCCCAGCTGGCCCTACTAAAAAGCTTGTCCCCCCCTTTCCTCTGGGCCCCCTTGAAGCCCTGACCGGCCGCACTCAGCTCTGCCCGCAGCCTTCTCTTCTCCAGGCTGAACACCCCCAACTCTCCCAGCCTGGCCTCAGAGCAGAGGGGCTCCAGCCCTCGCAGCATTTTTGTAGCCACCTAAAATGGTGCAAGTAGGGCTTTATCCAAGGCTTCTCCAAAGCAGTGAGAGACCCTAATTGGGTTTACTGGGCTTTAGAACAGATTTTATGTATAGCGTAATATTTTCTTTACTCTGGCAAAATATTTGACTAAATTTAAGAGCGAAAGATCACAACTGGAATGCAGCATGGTATTACCTGCTTCCTCTTAAAGGCCAATTGGAAGTCTACTTTCTGTAAAAAAAAAACAAAACGTAATAGTCGGATTAGTCGAATTAATCAGAATTCTTGGGCACTTCTTTTGAGGTGCATGAAGGCAAATATCTGGCTGCTAGGCAGGGGGTGGATGTAGGTGATGTAGGGAGCAGCAGCGATGGGCTCATCTTCATCCATCCTTCAAATAAACAACCCGTCCTCTCGTCCTGCTAGGACTTGAGTGCATTGCAGATTGATGGTTCTCATTATGCTTGCGAGCATACATGTGGTATTTTAGAAAAAAAAAAATTCTACTCAAGCATGAAGCACCTTCATTAGACCACTTACCTTCAATATTTAAATCCCAATTGTAGCTTCTAATTTTAATAGAGTCATCACACCTTTCCCTTCAGGAATAGCTGGAGGATAACCTGAAATCTTTTTTGTGATAATGGTTACGTCAGTCTCCAGATTTTACAGCAAAATCCATAAGATGAAAACATACCCATGTGCTAAACCAGTAATTTAATATAAAGGCTTTTAATGCAGAGACCGTTATGCTGATGCTCGCTGATAAAGCTGATAAAGCTTTGTTATCTGAGAGCACCGCCGCAGAAAATATCGAGAAGGGATTTGATGGCAAGTGGCTGTAAGTGTCTGGTTTACTTGTTTCTCCAAGCGAGTCAAGAGCATCCCAAAAGAACTGTCCTTAAGGACACAATGAAAAGTATTGGGCTCCCTAGGAAGTTCAGACTATGACAAACGTGCTGAAAGACATTTTGAGGCTAAGAGCGTAGACAAAAGGCTTTATTTTTACTTGAAGCAAAGGCCTTGCCAAGGATTTGCTCCAGAAAGCATTGTAACCTCAGATGTGTACCTCTATGAGACTCATAGAATCACAGCATAGAGTCGTTTAGGTTGGAAAAGACCTTTAAGATCATCAAGTCTGACCATGAATGGACTCACATACTATTTTGCATCTTCCTTGGCTGGGACAGGGTAAAGGGAGAGAAGAGCCCAATGCCCATGGCAGCCTAGAGTAGCAAGATGCTGTGACACCTTCTTGAATGCATGAGCAGTGAGTAAGGGTAGAAGGAGCTAAACTATCCTTCTCCTCTACCCTGCTGCAAATAACCTCAATATCTCTGGCCTCCTTAAGGAGAATATTTGTCCTCAGAGAAGGTGGCAGAGAGGGGTCTGCTGGTCAAGGAAGGAAATGGAGAATCAGAGCTAGGGTCATGGCATGATAAGGCAAAGAGCCATGAAGGTGAAAGCACCAAAAATGAGTCACAGTTGAGCAAACTTTTACAAACAAGAGGTGGTTTTGACCTTGGGCTGATCCTGTAGTTGGCTTCCTAGCTGTGGTGTTCAATATTGCCAGGGATGCCTGCGATATTGCCGTAGGAACGATCGATGGGGCTGTGGAAATGAGGAGGAATCCTCATTTCCATTTTTCAAAACTGTTTTGCCACTTAGTAGGTTGTAATTACTTATATACTTTGACTTTAATTATTATAAAATGCCTTGAGATTTGACTTGGCTTTGTAATTGCATGTTATTTGCACAATGAGTTCTGGTTGTTGCAGCAGGCTTTGAAAGAAACCAGATCCTCTGGCGCATTTGAGGTCCCAATGTAATAACTAATTCTGGTATCTGTGTGTCAGGAAGGTTGTTTTCTTCAGTAAAAGGTTGCGCTTTTCCTAGATTTCTGTTTCCTGCCACAAGCTGCATGATTAAGTGTTGTGCTGTGAGCCATCCTGGCTGGCATAGATACTGTGGAGACACCGGACAACACCAAGACACTCAAATTAACTAAGTTCCCGTTGTGATCAAGCTCCTCACTAACCATTTTTCTTCCTTCTGGTGTTCTGCTTGCAGATAATGTCAGGGCATTCACCAAGGGGAGAACTTTCTCCTTGGGGCTGTGGGGTAGGAGCTGGGAGAGGGGCCAGGAGAGGCCACGGACACGAGCTCCAGGGAAGCCTCAACAGGACCGTGATGCAGGATTTGGAAAAGAAGATACGAGATGGTGTTTTCGATCCAATTTGCTTATTCTCGTCCCGCAATAGGAAGAAAGTAGAAGTGGCAGGCTCTTTCCTTGTTGAACCTCACACAATTGGCCTCGGCCCATCAATCCAGCCTGTCCAGATCCCTCTGTAGAGCCTCCCTGCCCTCAAGCAGATCAACACTTGCGTCCAACTTGGTGTCATCTGCAACCTTGCTGAGGGTGCACTCAATCCCCTCGTCCAGATCGTGGCTAGAGACGTTAAACAGAACTGGGCCCAACACTGAGCCCTGGGGGACACCGCTTGTGACCGGCCACCAACTGGATTGAACTCCATTCACCATATTACTGATTGCAAATGGGAATTTATAGTTTGGGTGCAACACGGGTGGCTGGAGGGCTGTAGAAATAAAGGTCTTTTCTCTTTGTCTTAACCTTTGTTTTCCTTAATACTACGTTTGCTTCTGTTTTCTGGCACGGAAAAGTCCACGAGAGAGGTTGATACTGAAAGCTGCTTTTAAGAACATAGGGAAGCTGTCTTTTGTATTAGAAGGTTGACACGGAACATTTAAATCTCTGACGAATTGACTTTGAATATGGGCTAATAAAACAGCAACCTCCTGCTTTGGCGCACTAAATGTTACAGCTGTCTCAAGGAAAAACAATATTGGTGATTGGTTATGTGGAAATTAATTAAGTCCTTTCTTTGTCTCCAGCTCTTCTCCACTATGATAGTACCATCATGCTGAATATAATGAGTTTTCGTAGCTTGATTCAATCTCCACATGATGTATTTATGTGTTTATTGATTTTTAATATTTAGAAGCGCATAGAGAGAGGGAGATAAAAATACCGTGCTTGGGTTTTGTTTTTTGTTTAAAGGGAGACGTGTTGAGCTTCAAATGGCACGCGGCTGCTCTGAGGAACATCTGGTTTTTAATTCGTCTGCCAATAACTTTTGATGGAACTGTTTACAGTTCCTGGAGGGTGGAGGCTAATGCTGTCCCTTCTGCTGGAAACGACCGTAAAAGTAGGAAATGGGACATAAGGAATGCATCAATAATCGTTCCTTTTTTTTTTTTTCCCGACGATTCTCTTGCAGCTGTGAGCGAAGGACCAGCACCACAGCAGCCATCCTTGCTACCGCAGACGCAGCCTGAGCACTCCAACAGCGAGGACGCCCCGAGCAGAACCATCCCCACCGCCTGTGTCCGTCCGACGCACCCTCTCCGCAGCTTTGCCAACCCCTTGCTACCTCCGCCCATGAGTGCAATAGAACCGAAAGTCCCTTACACGCCACTTCTGTCTCAAACAGGTAAGAGCGATGCGGGAAGAGTCTCCAGTACCACTCACCTCAACCACTGACTTTCATTTCAGGGCAAAATAGAGAGCACAAGGCTGTCCCATACCTTGAAGAAATATCCATAAGTCCTGGCAGAATGGAAATTTTGTGATAATAATCTAACATTTCCTTTTGACAATCTAGAATAAAAATTCAGGACAAGGCAATAGCTTAAAATCAGAGTTAACAAGTGAGTGATAAAAATGAATGAAACGCGATGCCAAATTAATCACTTGGTCTTGTTTCCAGTCTCCTGTTCTGCCACAGTAACTTGAACCAGTGCCAAATGCTCGACTCGCGTTTCAAGGCTTGCCTTTTTGATAATGAAAGGGCTATTTATGCATGCTGGAAAAGAACCGACCGCAATCCACTTCAGTGTGCAACCTACTTAAAAATTAAATAGCAAGCTTGTCAGGAACAGAAAGAGAATTATTACTAAAACCAAAAAAATTTGAAAAGGCTGGAAAATAGCGCTACTGTTGAATGAAGGTGTGTGGGTGGGTTGGGGGTTAGATTAAATGGCTGCGTGTGGCTGTAGCGAAACATTTGTTCATGGGTGGGGGGCATGGTGGCAGGGTCACAGCCGAGCAAGAGATGCCTCTCCAGCTCATTCTGCCTTGGCTTCCAGAGTAGTACCATTTCTAGAGAGATGGTTTAGAACTTCACCATTGGATCAAACGAGGACATTTTTTACATGGTATCTGCTTTGCTCCTAAAGTAGGCCCAGTGCTAGAATTCACAGAATCCCAGAATGGCAAGGGTTGGCAGGGCCCTCGGGAGCTCACCCAGAGCCACCCCTCTGCTCAAGCAGGCTCACCCAGAGCAGGGGGCACAGGACAGCGTCCAGGCGGGGGTTGAAGATCTCCAGAGAAGGAGACTCGACAGCCCCCCTGGGCAGCCTGGGCCAGGGCTCGGGCACCCTCACAGTCAACAAGTTCTTCCTCACGTTCAACTGGAACCTCTTCTGCTTCAGGTTGTGCCCATGGCCCCTTGTCCTGTCGCTGGGCACCACTGCAAAGAGTCTGGCTCCGTCCTGGTGACTCCCCACCCTTAAGATATTTGTACGTGTTGATGAGGTTGCTCTCAGTCTTCTCTTCTCCAGGCTGAACAAGCCCAGCTCCCTCAGCCTTTCCTCCTAGGGGAGATGCTCCAGTCTCTTTATCATCTTTGTTGCCCTCCTCTGGACTCTTTCTAGGAGTTCCTCATCTTTCTTGAACTGGGGAGCCCAGGACTGGACCCAGTGCTCCAGGTGGAGTCTCACCAGGGCAGAGTAGAGGGGGAAGAGAACCTCCTCTCTTGTTCTTCACATGAACTGGTATACTCTGAGTAATAATATTTGCTGTAGTAACCCTAATTACTAGAGCTAAGGAAAAAAGAAAAGGGGGGGGTTGCAGGCTGGTATCTCATTTTAACTGTTAGCCCTACTCCTTTAGCTTGGATAATCTCCAGTTTGGCTCAGAGAACCTTTGAGATTTCAGCTCCACTTTTCTGTTCTAATGCTGCTCTCCGAGCGTAGCTTTCTTGCCATACAGCATATGTTAGGTCGATGTTTGCAACGAGCAAGCTACCAAAACATCTCTGCATTTTTACTGGAAGCACCTGCTATCCATCAGCAAGTAATCCAGTTTCTGACAGCAGACAGAAGTAGATAAATCCTTATTTCTTGAAGAACTGCTTTTGCCAAGTAGTGCTGCTGAATTATTTTTTATATATAACAGAGTCCGTTCATCTTGAGGTCGTATTGCGTTTTATTTTATCAGGATCCAATTCTGCTTGTCTTACTCTAGTGAGCAAGCCTGGTTTCCCCAAAAGGACTGTCTGTTCTCTAAGTCAATCAGGGTTTATATTTTAAGTATTGTAATTGGGAGGCGAGGTATAAAGAGGGAGAAAGTGGGGGCCTGTTACTTCTCTTCATACAGAATCCTCTTGCCCTGAAAAAGGAATTTGCCTTTTTTTGTGATTGCAGACGCCCCGTTTCCTACAAACGACAGGTAGAACTTGGTTGTTACGCAAAATTAAGAACTGAAAGTTTACGGCAATAATCTGCCATAAAGCAATGGAAATAAATGAGGCAAATGCTGAAGCAGGGGAAAAAAAATCTGTTTTTCTGGACTCTGCCACACAGACAAAAACGTGTTGCTGGGTTATCTAGGGCATTCAAAGCATTGTGTTCACTGTTCTACTGAAAGCACGATTTTTACTTTTTAGAATTGTGTATAACGTCATTTCTGATCAGCCTGGGGCTATTTTGTGTTGTTGGGGCTATTAATTTCTCTCAGTGTATGGTTTCTCTTGCTTTTCTCAATGTACTTGTCCTCAGAGTCATTAGCCAGACTGATGTTGTTTCCTTCTTGTAGAAAGGTTTCCTTTGTAAATGTTGACTTCTATTTGTGCCTGCTGGGGCATGCAGAACCTATCCTGGTCCTGCACGTGGTCTCTCAAAACTGGGTTGCTCTTTCAGTACCCACTCCTGAGTCCCACTCCTCTGGAACCCAGATCTCTTTTCTTTTCGCTTAAAATGGGAGTGGAGAGAGAAAGCAGTGAAAAAAGAGATGTCAGGAAGGAGCGCTTCATTTCACCAGCAATGCTGAGTATTTAATACTACCCAGGAGCATGATCTTAGAATGGTTTGGGTTGGAAGGGACCTTAAAGATCACCTAGTTCCAGCCTGCCCACCATGAGCAGGGACACCTTCCAGTAGGCCAGTTTGCTCAAAGCCCCGTCCAACCTGGCCTTGAACACTTCCAGAGACAGGGCATCCACAGCTTCTCTGGGCAACCTGTCCCAGTGCCCCACCACCCTGACAGTGAAGAATTTCTTCCTTCTATCTAATCTAAATCTCCCCTCTTTCAGTTGAAAGCCATCACCTCTTGTCCTCTCACTATGTGTCCTTGTCAAAAGTCCCTCTCCAGCTGTCTTGTAGGCCCCTTCACGTACTGGAAGGTGGCAATCAGGTCTCCCCGCAGCCGTCTCTTCTCCGGGCTGAACATACATGGCTGATATCTCAACCCATGAAAGAGAAATGTTGAAGATAGTTGTGATTCACAAAGCTTGTGATGCACTTCTCTATTTGAACAAACCTCCTAGAAAAGATGATGGACGCGTCCCCGCACGGTCGCTCCTCCCTAGCCAAGCTCTCTGCAGGCCAGCTGAGCAAATTCCCTTATGGCCCACACCTGCTAATTATACTCCACTTCCAGACATCTCAGATTTAAAAGGCTCTTAGCTAATTCCCACGTTGGAATAGCTGTTACTTTCCTTAACCAGATAGATAGAATTAATTAATTTTTTATTACATTTTTCTTAAACTCGAGACATTTTTGCATGTTCTCTGTTAATAAAGTAATAGGGTAATAGCTAATGGACTCATCATTACTTAAACCAATTAAACTACTCTTTGCTTTGCTGCCCTATTTGCTAAATGCATGTCACTCAGGTGCCTTATCCCTTCAGACAATATATAACTGGTGGGACAATCCTGCAGAATTCAGAAGGGGAGAAAGCAACAGAGACCTGCAGAGATTGACCCAGATGTTTGCAGCAAAGACTTTAAAAAGCAGGAACCTGAAGTTAAGTGGACCTTTCCCTTGAAATCCCTTCATTTTGGATGGATGCCGGGGGCCACCAAAGCTGCTCTATCGCTCCCCTCTTTAACCGGACAGAGGAGAGAAAAGTAAATCAAAAGGCTCATGGGTCGAGATAAGGACAGGGAGAGATCATTCCCCAGTTACCATCATGGGCAAAACAGACTCAACTTGGTAAAACTAATTTATTATCAATGAAAATCAGAAACAGAGAGGATAAAAACTGCTGAATCTTAAAACACCTTCCCCCCACCCCTCCCTTCTTCCTGGGCTCAACTTCACTCCCAGTTTCTCTACCTACTCCCCCCAGCGGTGCAGGGGGACGGGAATGGGGTTGGGGTCAGTTCATCCCACGTTGTCTCTGCCGCTTCTTCTTCCTCGGGAGAGGACTCTTCCCCTGCTCACGCGTGGGGTCCCTCTCACGGCAGACAGTCCTCCACGACCTTCTCCAACGTGAGTCCTTCCCATGGGCTACCGTTCTTCACCAA